GGGTAAGTTTGCAAGCAGGTGATCGATGGTGAGGGAACTCCAATTCTGGGAGAGTAAAGTTCAGGATCTCTTTAATGCTGTCTTTTTATGTGATATTTATACGATCTGTTTGTCTTACCACACACACAATAATGATTATGCTTTAAACATGTTTAGTATGTCAGGTGAATTTTATTGTGGATTTTACTTGATGACACTGTAAGTTCTAGAGATACATAGTTGTTTTTTAGAATTTTCCTACTGAGATATCAACCGTGAACTGAAACTTTTAAAAAATCTGAATTCCTTACATCTGTTCATTAGTGAAAGGAAAGCAAATTACCAAGCCTGCCCACATATGGCAATGGGATGAAATACACTGCCCTGTCCTGGTGTAGGTGAACATATTTTTAGTATTGACTATGTCATCTCTTATAAGATAATCCTCTCATTTTTCTGTAAACCCAATATCCAATTTACTTGCAACTCAGCTGTCATATTTAATGGGATTCTCATGAGGAATCTTTCTTTATTGTTTTTAAAAAACAAACACAAAGTACATCATTTAGCCTATGTGCTCTTTTATTTTGCAAATGAGATAACAAACAGGGCACTGACCTGAGTGGATTTCTAACAAGGAAGAAAGTAAGCTTTATGCAAGCTATTTAAATGAATTCTTTTCAATTATTCCCTGATATCCCAATTTAAGAAAAATTCCCTTAAAAATAAAAAGTCATCAAATAGGTTTAAATCTTTTCTTGTGGCGGGCAAGACTGTAGAATGACCACCTAAAAGGCATTCATAACCCTTTTCTCTTACCTTCTCCTACAAAGGCTGAAAAACTACAGTGATTCTCCACACTTCCTTGCTGCGGGGGAGGCCATATGACTCAGTTCTAACCAATGAGATTTAAGTGGAAATTGTGGGTGGAGCTTCCAGGAAAGAATGTAGAAAGGACAAAAGCTGCTGACTCAGGCCCCTGGCATGTCTTACACCCACCCTTTTTCTTGAAAGGTGGACACCTAGTGCGTTAGATGTTTTGCAACCATGAGAACAAAACCTCCATGCTAAGGATGCTGGAGGAGAAAGCCAGTAAGAGGCTCCTTGATTACATACAAACCAAGACTCATCACACAAGACAATTTTCATTTCCGATTAAGCCACAGGTTTTGCTAATACATGCAGCTAATGCAATGACAACTGATCCATCCCCACCCTCAACATTTGTGCAAGTAATACAAATCTAAAGCTTTCCATCTATTACTGATCTTTCCCTATTAATGGCATGATAAGGCATAGTAGTACAGTGCTTTAAAAACAAAGGGATATTTAAAATATGGAAGGAATCAAGTTTCTTTCATTCGGTGTATTCACTGAAATTAGTGACTGAGTAAATTTCAACATTTAAAGAACTAATTTAAACCTGAAGATGTTTATAAAAAGATAGCTCCCAAACTGCCCAAATACTTTAGCAAAATTCTTTCTTAACGATGCTCTTTTTTCCTATCCAAGTTTATAATATATTCCAAATTTTCAAATCCTATTCTGCAATGTTTTATGTGCTCTTGAAGAACACTCTAACTCTCCTCCCTAGAGTTATTAAATTCAGACATACGCAATTTAATGTCTGAAGACAGTTAATTGCTGCTGACATTTTCGACACCAGATGTAATTAGTAACTAGAGCTGTTCTTCTAAAACTACCTATGACATATGCTAAGATCTGAATTTACGACAAGATTAAAGTCTTCCTAACCTTTGCTACAAAATATTAAAACTGTCTAATCTCATAAAATACGGGGAAACGGAAAATGCCAACAGCGACGGCAAGTTATGACCATTTCACACCTGAACAAAACAATGTTTTCACGCGTTTATGTATTTCAGAACAAAGCATAAAGCTGGTTATTTTATTCCTCTGAGGAGCTGCTTCAAATTGGCTGAGATGTAACTTAAGGCATGAACCACCACCAAAAAGGGGAAGAATTTCCTAAATACCACTATATCACCCATGCCATTCCCATGTTCAAAATCTTCACTAGCTCCCTAATACTCCACAAATTCACACTGTGGGTCAGCCCTCCCTCCCTTTCTAGCTTTACTTCTCCCCTCATTCCCATACTTGACCAACATTACTTAATCCAAAAGAATTTCACATTGCTCAGCTTTATTATGTTCATAACAGTTACTGCATAAAGAAACTGGAAACAACTTAAAAGTCAAGGGCACGCCTACAACAAATACCACGTAACCATTAAAAGTCATGTTCTTCAAGAGCATGACAATATGCTTACGGCCCATTTAAAAAAATGACATTTGTGATTTTTTAAAACGCTATGAAGAATAAAATACACTACTCTAGAAATACCAAAAGGCGCATTAATACTACTATAAAACAGCTAGGTCAATACAGTTCAAAAGTACCTATCCATCAGCATACTGAAGATATGAAAGAGATACAGTTTTCCTAAATATTGGCTATAAATAATAATCATATAACTGGCTATACTGCCACCAAGAGCTAAGTGTGATACAAACAGCAAAATACCTAAGTGATTAAATATATATTTCAAGAATATCACTATAATTTATTCCTGCAAAAAATTACTGATGTGCTAAATGGATCTTATCTTTAAAAAGACTAGAAGTAACCCCAAAGAGGTTTGGGGATTCCAAAAGCACTCCTGTTGTTTTATTATTACCAAACCCATACATAATATTTCCAGTATATGCTTATTATATATAATAAATCTTCTTAAAAACATAAATAGGCTGCAGGTACCTTTACAGCATAGACTTTTTTTTCTACTTCAGACATAAAATTCTAGGATTTAATTTCCAATGCAAAATAAAAGAAATTCTGTAGACAACAGATTGATAGATTTATGCAAATTCCAAGAATCATATAATTCCTATTAAAATTTCTATGCAGAACATTCAGAAAAATCTCAATTCAACTTTGAAAAAACTAACTAATATTTAGTGACCATTTTTATTTGTTTAAGAACCCAAAACCCAAGTCCAATTGAAACACGTTGAGAATAAAGTAGTTTTTATTTATTATTAGTTTTAGCACTTAAAATATTTTAAAAGCCTTTAGAAGTCTTGCAATTTAGGAGACAGTCTCTTTTGAGATAGCAAAAAAGAAACCAGAATGCAAAGTCCTTCACACACCAAAAGTAAGGGGTCTGGAAAAAGTCCAGCCGTTGCTACCATAATGAGAACAGTTTGTGTGAAACTGATGTCACCTGGCAGCCAAGGGGACTGGAATGCACATGTGTGAACAATGACAACATTACTGTACCAGTCGGTGGGGGTGGAGGATGCCACTGAGTGAGCATGTGGACTGCGTGGCCGTCACATTCAAAATGGCCAAGTTGAGCAATGAATCTGCACCAAACTTTGCATTAAGCTTGAATATTCCTCTGCAGAAACTATTCAGATGATTCAGAAGGCCACAGCTATGGGCAATTGGTGATTGGCAGCTTCATCACAACAACACACCTGCTTACGTATCATGTCTCATGCAGAGTGTTCTGGCAAAACATCAAATTACCCAGGTGACTCAGCTTCCCCACAGCCCAGATTTGGTGCCCTGCAACTTTTGGCTTTTCCCAAAACTCAAATCACCTTTGAAAGGGAAGAGATTTCAGACTGTCGATGAGATTCAGGAAAATACAATGGGGCAGCTGATGGGGACTGGGAGAACTGTATGAGGTGCCTACTTGGAAGGGGACTGAGGTATCACTGTCCTATGCACAATGTTCCTTGTATTTTGTTCAATAAATGTCTAATTCTCTTATTACATGACTGGATACCTTCTGGACAGACCTCGTATACCCCAAATCTGTTCTCTCCTTTCCATTTTCTTGGCTACCACCTGACGTAATTAACACCTCACCTGAATGCCTAACTGATCTCTCTTTAGGTTTACTCTCACCTCCTACAATCCTTTGTTTACACACGCAGAAAATCTTTTACAAAATTTACAAAAGATCTTGTCACTCTTATCTTGAAACGATCCCACCACAAATAATACAACTCGATGCCCTATACAACTGGGCCATGCCCTACATGATTAAACGAGGCCCCACCTCACTTACTTTGCTCCAGCCACACCAGCCTTCTTCCCAGCCTTCTTCCGGTCCCGCAAACACTCCTGCCTTCCCCTCTGCCGATCCCTCTGCTTGAAAAGTCTCTCACCCCCGAAACACTCCACACGGCTCACTCCTCCTCATGATTCGGGCCTCACCTCTGGTGCGAGGTTTCAGATTTAGAGAATAAAAGTAGGGGACTTACACTAAAAAAACCCCAATTCATTGTTTATTTTAAATTCAAATTTAACTGGGCATCTGCTCCAGGTACTGGGCTGGCAAGCCTACTGCAGTGTCACCTTTTTAGAGAATTTCCCAGTCATCCTCTATCTGAAGAGTCTCCTCTGTCGTAACTCATGACCCTACTTTCTTCATTGTCCTTTCAATCTCTGGAAAGTTCTTTGCTCACTTCTCTGATTTACTCATTCATTGCTCCGTTCTCCCTCCATCCTGTCATGTGTAGGTCACCGCCCCACTCATCGACCCCCGGACCACACCTCTGCCCTGTGTCTGCAGCACAAAACAGGGTCTTGTCTCGTCTTGAACTGTTTCCCTAGCATATAACACAATGTCTAGTACAAAGTAAGCACTCTCAAATATCTGGTGAATGAATGAATACTCTGAATTTATATGCTTTCTAAGGTGTTTAGAATTATTTCTAATTCTATACCTGTGAAACAGTTTCAAAGTTCTGGAAGAAAAATCAGTCAGATTAAGTTTCTTACGCAAGTAAACAATCTGAATAATATAAGTTTTATGTGAGTCATTTCATTACTGATACTGTACTGTAATAAGACAAATAACTAAAAAGCCGTTTATAATTATTTGCACATGACCAACAATAACTAGGAATATAGAAATATTAATAAAAGCATGCTTACAGAACACCCACTTTAAACAGATACGAAACTGTGCAAATCAATTTTACCGTCTTAATAGAACTCCTCTGTTTCTCTTCCCAAACACCGCTGCTCAGCTCGAGTGTGCAATGAATGTTTGCCTCCCGGTCATAGGACCCAAAAATGAGCAGCCTGCAGTATAGAAACACAACAACAAGACTGTTAGACCAGTGATGTGCATTAGAGTTTTTCTTTCAGACCATTAAACCACAAAGTAATAAGTTATTCCATTACTATTATAATTTTGATAAGAGGAAAAATTAAATCAAATACTTGATACACCCTCTAGTGGAAGAGTGGAGTAAAGCTAAAATTAGGCCAAATTCCAGGACAGGCTGTTTTTCCGCAGCTAAATCACACAGAGAGAGCATCTGTTAATGAGGCGAACAACTGGACCGAGTATCTGTACAGGAGCTGTACAGAGCTAGAGCAAGAGCTATAGATCTTCAAATCAGTCTGCTGAACTTAAAAAGTTGTAGGATGATGCCTGCAGTGGTGATTTCCAACAGTTGTGCCATAAGAATTTTTAAAACACGCAATACCTGACTAGTCAGGAGCACCAACCTCTTTTCCCTGAGACTGTCCAGTAAAAAAAAGAAGACAACAGCCATTTGTTGTGCATTAACCAAAATTATACCTATTTTTCTTGTTAGATTTGCCAAAAATACTATGCTTTTTTGGTGTGCTGCAGAATTTTAGTAATTAGTTCAGGTGTGCCATGAGATAAAAAAGGTTGAAAATTGCTGCTGTAATATAACAGCATCTCTATAAAAGTTAAACAGGTATAAAACAGTACAATATAGGTGCTTATGAACACACACACACACATACACACACTTGTTAAACAGTGCTTAACAACCTACTGTCAAAAATACTAAGATTCACGATTACAAAAAAGTTTAGAACAAGGAGAATTTTCATTTGGCAAAGCTTTGCTGCCACCATCTGTCCGAAAGGGCAAACTGCCGAAGGGCCTTGGCTGCTGTGCAGAGAAGGCTGCCGCAGGCCAGTGCTCCAAGTTCCCGAAAGAGATTTCTCTTCAGGACTCAGGAATGAGAAACGACAATTCTTGGAATCCTCCCTTGAAATCGTCCGTTAGCCCATATTTTTCATATCACCACTTACGTATTTTTTAAAAAGAATAACAAAATTTAACAAAAAAATTAACTCAAAATGAGTCACAGACCTAAATGTAAGAGAAAATGTAAATCTTTGTGACCTTGGATTAGGCAATGTTTTCCTAAGATAGGACACCAAAAGCACAAGTAGCAAAAGAAAAATAGATAAATGGGAATTCACTGAAATTAAAATTTTTGTGCATCAAACAACACTACCAAAAAAGCGAAAAGACAATCCACAGAATGGGAGAAAATCTTGCAAATCATGTGGACCTGTGTCCTTGTTAGGGATCGCGTCTCCACAAAGAACCTACGGAAAGTGCCCTGCCGACCACCAGGCTGGATCTAGTCCTCTAGCACACAGTGATGGGCGGGCTCCTCTGTGCTAGAAGAGGTCAGTGGCCGACTGAGTGGGTGTGATCTGTGCCCTCGAAATTGAGGTGCTGTGAGAGGGAATCTACCGCCGAGCCTCACAGATATTGTTCCCATCGGAGGAAAAACTGCTCCTGAAACATGTATTTCTTCCATGATACTGAGCCCCGTCATAATCTCATGGGACCGCCATCACCTACGCGGTCCACTGCTGATGGAAACATCGTTAGGCAGCACGTGACTTGTACAGTACTTGACCATACACCCTCAATCCTGGGTAGTGTGGAGAAGACTGCAAATAAACCCCGAATTCCTTCCAGTAAGTATGTTTTCTGAATTTGTATGAACAAAGCAATTCTGAAACTATTTGAGATGTATTCCAGAACTGAGCAAATGAGTCAAAGTGCTGATGTTACTGGAGGCAGGATTCAAGCGACATGAAACTAACTATAAAAGAAGAAAGAAGCAAGGTGAGGATCAACCCCAGGATGAACTGGAGTTGGGAGTATCAGGTGAACTCAGGATTTCTACATTGTGTAGACATGTGCATATATGTGTGTCTATACATACATGTATATGCACAACTGTCCACTGAAGGGACCTGTGAACACATGAAGTAGCAATGAACAACCCAGATCTTAATTTCTAATATTATTCTCTATTAAAAGGAATCGGGGTCTTTTGGTAAAATAGTTGATTCTAGGACTGTGGCAGAGAAGGTACAAAATGAACCTGGAATAGCTTATTATACCAGAAAGTAATGAAGATGAAAGGAAGGAAGGAAGGAAGGAAGGAAGGAAGGAAGGAAGGAAGGAAGGAAGGAAGGAAGGAAGGAAGGAAGGAAGGAATACAAAGCATACAGAAGCATACAGAGTCAGTTTGAAGGATACTCAGTAGCAACTCAGGGAAAATTCACACACAAAATAATTAAGAACAGGAAAGAATTATGACCACTGAAAACACAGAAATCCATGAGTCTGTGCTGCTAATAGATAACTGGGCAGTAAGACAGGACTCTTGGTAATAGGGTAGAATGTCAACTTCTGCAATTTTCTATACTTGTGTTAACCTTAAAAAAAAATTAAGTGATTTATTTTTGGAACCCAGTTAAACAAAAACAGCAATCTAAAAGCTGCTGAGAAACGACAGGCTCTAGAGCAGTGTACGTGTGACTCAGTAAAGAACTGACCTTAATTAGAATCTTCTATCTATAATTAGGGCAGATTATAGCCTAAATATACCACTTTGGAGTACAGAACTCTCACACAACAAAACATTCTAGGCTTTGCTTTCACTAACTAGAATTTAAGTTTGTTTTTAAAAATAAAACTGGTTGATAAAACCGGCCAAAGCAAAGCCAAGCAAAGCAAAGAAAATGTATTCATTATGCAAATGGATACATAAAATGTCACATAAAGATGTACGTGACAAACTGAGCTAGAATTTGGTGCCAAATTTCTTATCCCCTGAAAAACACACTCAGTTTATCCGACAATGAAAGCTAAATAATCCATTAAGATTCCTTTGCTGCCAGAAAATTGATCTTCTCTATATGGTTGTTTTTAATCTCGTTTATCTTCAATTTAACTGCATATGGCATATGTTTTCTTTGTAAAATAACTTCAAATCCTTTAAGACGATAAATCATAAATTAAAAATAGTCTTAATAATATGACTATAACACCAACATGCAATAATTTAGTTTTCTCACAGCACTACAAATACAGCAACTGAGTTCATCAGTGACTCAAAAAAATCAACTTCAGTTCAACACAAAAGACAATGCTAGAACCAATTTTAACAAATAAAATTGTGTTTCCATTCCTAAACTTTTTTTCTTGATGATTTTATTTATTTGTTTTTACAGAGAGGGGAAGAAAGGAAAAAAAGAGGGAGAGAAACATCAGTGTGAGAGAGACACATTAACCAGTTGCCTCTCACAAGACTCCCCCCCCCGGCCCCCCCCCCACCGGGGGACCCTGGCCTGAAACCCAGGCATGTGCCCTGTTTAGGAATTAAACCAGCGACCTTTCCATTTGATGGCTGGCACTCAATCAACTGAGTCATACCAGCAGGGTTGATTCCCAACCTTTTAACTGGGAGGTTCGAAACTCTATTTCAAATAATTAGGAAAGAACCTCCCTTTACAGTTTGAGGCCCTTTTAAATTAATGAAAGTCAGATTCCTGTTCTCACAATAAAATATGCAAAAAAGAATGGGCTTGTTTAAAGATTTTTCTTTGTGATAAAAACTATAATGATTACATTTAGGCATAACAACATTGCAGAAACTCCATTTACTGAAGACTAACCATGTGGTGGTAGGCACTGTGGCTTTCTTACCTATCTCTGACCCAACCTAAGGACATAAACAAACAGGAAGGGTGCACAGCTGGGATGCAAAGACGACACTTTCCAGTTCAAAAGTCAGTCTTATTTCCACTTCATGTTGCCTCCGGAAGCAAAAATTCCTGGTTCAATAAACAGTTTGTTTTCTATGAATACTTCTGATTTTTTCCTTGTTGGGAAAGTGAACTTTCAAAGCTTTACAACAGGTTAGGTTTGATGGATCAATGAATGAATGAATGAATGAATGAATGACTCTCAGTCAAGGCTATCTTTACCAGTTGGGGATGGGTGGATAAGTAAGTACATGGGAATTAACAACAGGAGAGTCAAAAAATTTTGTGCAAAACTGCCCTTCAAATGTTTAGAAGTTGCTATAGTTATTTTGGAAAAGGTAATCCAGTAAGTATAATTCTGATGCTTGTAGATCTACAAGAAATTCGGTAGAAGAAAAAGAGCACCAGTTCAAAAGTTCCCTTGACTCAGGTCACTTGAAAAAGGTTCTAAATATTAATATAACTAGCCCAAATCATAATTACATATTTAATACTTAGGCTTACTATAGCACATTAGCTCAGCAAGTTCAAATTCAGACTTGTGTAGAGCCATGTTTTGTTGTATACATCATTTCAGTACATGCTGAAGTTCCCTTTTATAAAATTTACTGTATACTTAGCCTTTGGTAAAAGAATTCCTCTTCAACCAGCTTTCTGACATAATGGTGCACAGTAATGAGTCACTCAAGACAAACAAAAAAAATGTTTAGCACATTATTAAGATATTCAAAATTAACCTAATTATTATTAAGGACACAAATATATTAGGTACAAAAACATAACCTTTGTACTCAAGTACTTGTTTTTATTATGAATTAGAAATCAAAATAGAAGTGGTAAGTATCAAATAAGTGGTACAACCAAGTGTCACAGAAATGTAGCACGAGGACAGCGTACTTGCAGTTAGAATGATTAGGAGACACATTAAAGATGGAGCTTTCGAGGTGAACCAAGGCTCGTTTCCAGGAGCAGGAAATGGGGTCGGACCTCAGCAGAGAAACAGCGGGGCCCACACAAGGGCTTGGTGCTTTGAAGTACCTTAGCAGGGAGGGTGAAGTGCGTTTGTCTGCGGGCTCAGTCCAGCTCACTGCTTGTTTTGTATGGCCTGTGGGCTGCCAGTACTCTTTACATTTTCAAATGAGTGGAAAAAAAAAGAGCTTCACGACACACAAGGACTACGCAATTTATTACGTCAAGTTTTACGAACACCCAGCCATGCCACGCGCAGCTGTCCTGTCCATCTCTGAGTGCTTTCACACTACAAGGCAGAGGGGAGTGGTTGCAACAGAGACCATGTGAATCCCAAAGCCTAAAATATTTACAGCCTGGCCCTTCAGAGAAGGAGGTTGCCAACCTCTTGCCTCAGAAAGACCTATGTGGCTCAAGTACTGTGAGTGAGGGCTGGGCAGAGAAAGAAGCTAGAAAGGTAAGCGGGCATGCAGGTCCTGGCAGATTTGAGTCTATGTTTCAGAGAATGGGGAAGACATTAAAGAACGTTAGGTAAGAGAGTGATCCTTAGATACCCATTTTGAAAAGCTCATTTGGGTCGTTATACTAGTAGCCAGTGCTAGGAAACAAGTGTGGATGAAGAAGGGGCTCCGTGGAAATCTAAGTAACTTCACAGGGTCACGGTGGGCAGCCATGACTTTGCCTATCAAAAGGTTTCTCTTTGCCTTAAGCAGCCCTGCTCCTGTTCTTGTACCTCTAGGTTAGCACACCTGTGAATGCCAGAGTGATCCCTTTTTTTAGACCCCCCAGGGGCACAGCCACCTTTGAGGAGGCATATAAGTAGACAGCAGAACCTTTTTAACTATCTGCAACACTGTTTTCTCCCACCTTCATGGGATCTTCCTTAGTTCTCTCCTTCATTCCACACATAAAAGACAACGCAACACTGTCATTCTCTGGGGCATCTGAGAACTTGCTTCTGGTATGTTGTTAGTTTGGCTCAAATAAACACTTATAAAAAATTTTGGACGTACGGGTTTAGACATTCTTATGTCAACATAAGTAAAAAGACTAGCATAATAAGTAATTCAGAATATGAACACAACTTGGACTACAGGGTTGGTAAAATACGGTAAGAAGGCTGAGAGAGATTATATCTGAGATCCCTTCAGAAAGCTCCGAAATTTTAAGAATCAAGTCTGATTTTTCAACTTGCCAGGGTATTTTCAATTATCACACAATTCTCAAAACTTATGCTATGAACAGCTCCCCTACAGGTGGGAGGTCAGAGATGCCAACCAAGCATCACGCCTATAAAAACTTGGGGAATTACTGAAGAATAAATAACCTCCTCTCCCCATGCTAGAAAGCTTTCTAAAGAACGGTTTATATTTTTTTGCAAGCTGGAAAGGACTAGTTTTATGAAGTTTATGATTAAAGGTTTTCCTGATAATACACTGTACTGCTTAAATGCATTTCACTTCACTTTCCCATAATTCAGTAAGAATGAAACAGAACTTACCTGCTACATTCTAACAACGTAACTTTAAGGCGGCCTTCAGTTAGTGCCCATTGTTGTATATGGATATGCTCTTCTTCATCTTCTTCAAATCCTTGCAAGGTTTGGAATGGAAAAAATGGCTTAAACCTAAAAAAGTAAAGATAAGTCTAAATTTCCGAATAGTAAATACCACCTTTTTAAAGCATAGTAACAAAGCCTACCTATAGGAAAACAACACAAAACAAAACACCTGATACTGCAGGTGCTCCGCAAAACCAATGCTTGCTACATGCTCCATAACCAGCAGCAAATGGTGTCTTCTCCGTGGCACCCAGACCTCCTGTTTTTTTGGCATACCCTCACTGACAAGGCAGGACACTTGGAACAAAGAAAAAGAAAATCTAGAGGGTCGCCAGGTGGCCCTGAAACTTAGGTGGGGCAGGACAGAGATTCTTTCTGGCCTAGATGGAGGAGTGCTCCTACAATACACGACCACGATTCAGAATGCACTAGTCTATGGAAACAAAATAATTGATGGCACCCTGGCTGGTGTGGCTCAGTGGGCTTGAGTATTGGCCCTTAAACCAAAGGGTCTTAGCTTCAATCCTGCTTCAGTCAAGTCCTGGTTGGGGCACATGCCTGGGCTGTGGAGCCAGGTCCCCAGTGGGGGGAACGCAAGAGGCAACCACACATGGATGTTTCTCTCCCTCTCTTTCTCCCTTCCTTCCCTCCCTCCCCCTAAAAATAAATAAATAAAATCTTTAAAAAATTACACAAACACACACACACATAATTGGCAGTGACTAGTCCCTTTGCATACCGTAAGATATCATGCATATTCCCACCGTTAAAAAGAACCCACAGGCCCCCCGTGGAGTCACTGTGCTGGGCCCCATCAAGACTTAATTCCTAACATTTCAACTGTTGTTTAGGCCTCTTCTGTGAATGGAATTTTAATCCAGTCAATCTGCAATTTCCTGGTCAACATTAGTGATGTAATCTGTCTGGTCAGACCCCCTGCCTCCCTAAGATGTGTCCTTGCCTGAAATAGTCCACTCTAAACATCCTTGCTGTAACATTCTTCTCCCTATAAAAACCTTCCATTTTGTACAATTCCTCTATCTGCGAGAGAGAATACTGCAGATTCACGAATGAAGCCAATGAGATCTCTGCTTGAGTTGGTAGCGATCTAACTGTTCTTCGACAGCACCACCCGGAGGTCCGCCCCACCCCGCCAAGCCTACCCAAACCCGAACACGCTCTGTGGTGGGCTGCAGTGGGCCAGGTCGTAGAGGGCCACAGCCCTGCTTCCACTCCCCGCCATCCTGCAGTCAGTCATCACTGTGCCTTTACGCCTTGAAATCTCAAAGGTGGCCTGGTCTCACAATTCTCCGCTCCGCCCACACACCCACTCAGGACTCAAGTATTTGCTGAGCTGACGAATAAAAATCCAACACGAAAAATGAAATGAATATTTGGGAAATATTAACAGCACCCTATGATTCATACTGAAATATTATGTATTGACAGAGGAGGAAGAATGCTGTTTTACGGTTTCCCAAACAACAGGATTAAAGGAAAAACTTTTTAGGGAAAAATAAATAGGTTTACAGACAAATGCTCAGTGCTTTTCTTCTGCTTCAGAGCTAGATGAAAAACAGAAAGCCCCATTGTTTCTGCATTTGAAGTCTGATTCATTAAGACTTGTACCGAATTTCTGAAAGAAAGAAAATTAGGAACTAAATCTATCAGGTTAATACAACATTGCAGCTGAGTGCTTTTAATATATAAGCCTCATGGCTTCTGGAGAGCATTTTAACTGATGTCACTCTGCAAAAAAAATTTTAGATGTTAGTAAATACACTAGCAACTTTGAATAAAATAATCCAAGTTTGCTAAATCACAGCTGTTTTATGCATCAACTTTTCTTGTCAAGTATAGTTAAAATTCAGTACAATTTCACAGGTGTGTAACCTTAATGTTGTAGGGAGTGCAGTCTAATATGGGTTTATTCATGCTTCTGGGGCACTTGCTCTGAGTGTTTATAAAACTAGTAGGCTGTATTCCATTGTAAAAATGATACAATAAGCAGTGGGCTGAAGCTATTTGCTCGGCAAGCAGGTAAAGAAACCCACTCATTCCCACCCTCTCAGACCTAACTCGGCAAGGGTGGACTTCTCTAACACAGTGCAGGCAGTCACTAAAAACAAACAAGCAAAATGCCTGGCGAGAGGGACCAGCACCTAGAGCTGCTGTAATAGGTTAGATAAACGATTTGGTTCCCAACAAAAGTTACGAGGCATGTAAAGAACAGGAAGCATGAGCAAGAAGGCAGGAAAAAACCGGGCAACACAAACCGCCAGCGTGAACGACCCAGCGCCAGGCTGCATAAAAAGACTCCGAAATAGCTATCATAAATATGTTCGCAAAAGTTTTCATAAAATTTAATTTAAAGAAAAGAACTAAGTGGTAATTCTGGAGTTGAAGAGTACAATAACAGAATAAAAAAGTTCACCAAAAGGGCTTTCAACGGGAGATACAAACTGACAGAAGAAAGGAATTAGTGAATTGCAAGATCCTCAGCTCAACAGAGGTTATGCAAATCAAAGAATAATGAGGAAAACAAGAATGAAGAAATGAGCTTCAGAGAAATGTGGGAGACCATTAAGCACTCGACCTGCATGTAATGAGCGTGCCAGGGGTAGGGGAAGGAAGAGGGATAGAGGGTGGAGCAGAGAAAAATAGTCAAAGAAATAACATAGGTAGCTAGTAAGCCTTGAAGCCGCAAATTATATGATTTCACTTATATGAAAATCCAGAACAGAGACAGAAAGTACACCAGGGGGTGCTTAGGGTTGGGGGTAGAATGTGGGTTAGGGGATGCCACCTGAAAGTGTGGCGTTTCCTTTGAGGTGATAAAAATGTTCTACAATTGTGACAATGGCTGTGCACATCTGTGAACATACTGAAAACACTGTATTGTAAGCTTTAAACAGGTGCATAGTGTGGAATATGAATAATATCTCCATAAAGCCATTTAAAAAAACACCCAACCCAGTTGCCCAGAAATAATTTTCCTTGCCATTGCTTTGACTTGTAAATGTTTGGTTAAACTATCTGATTAAGTAAGAAACAAAATAATAAATACCATAGCTCCATTAAAATGATTTACAGACCCTGTTAAGGCTGTGAAAAATAGAGTGGCTGCCATAACCGGCACTGGCTGTTAACGCACTGACAGGTAGCAAGCAGTGCCCCTTATCCGAGGTTTCGCTTCCCATGGTTTCAGTTACCTGCGGTCGACACTGGTCTAATCATATTAAATGCAAAATTCCAGAAATAAACAATTTGCCAGTTTTAAGCTGTGAGCTGTTCCAAGTAGTGTGATAAAGTCTTGTGCTGCCTTGCCCCGTCTTGCCAGGGACCTGGGTCGCCCCTTTGCCCAGCGTGTCTGCACCGTATGTGCTCCCTGTCTCGGTTATCAGCTAGACTGTGGAGGTCCTGCAGTGCTTGTGTTCACATGGCCCTTATTCTACTCAGTAATAGTCCCAAAGGAAGGGAGCAGTGATGCGGGCAAATGGAGTATGCCAAAAGGAAGCCATAAAGTGCTTCCTGCAAGTCAAAAGGTTAAAGTTATTGACTTAATAAAGGAAGAAAAAAAATCATACACTGAGGTTGCTAAGATCTATATAAGAACAAATCTTCTATGTGTGAAATTGTTTAGAAGGAACAGAAATTTATACCAGTTTTTCAGTCACACCTCAACTGCAAGTTACGGCCACAGTGTATGCTAAGTGTTTAGTTAAGATAGAGAAGACATTACACTTTATCATAGGTGTGTACATACAGGGAAAAAACAGTATATATGGTGTTTGGTGCGACCTGCAGTTTCAGGCATCCCTGGTTGGGGGACCACTGTGTTTGCCCACTGACCGTAATCCTTACAAGAACCCCCAAACTATGGGCACACTGTACACAGGGAACGGTTTGAGAGGTCTCACAAATACTAGACACTGAGGCCAAAATCGGGAGCCACATTATCCTCCTAGCCCTACCATTACAGAGTGCCACCGATGGGGTGGCTTCAAGAACAGAAACTGATTTTCCTACAGTTTCAGAGGCTAGAAGTCCAAGATCAAGGTGCTGGGAAAGTTGGTTTCTAGCAAGGCCTTGCTCCTTACCCTGCAGACAGCCACATTCTTGCTGTGTCCTCTCGTGACCTTTTCTCTACACACACACTCTTGATGCCTCTCCTCTTCTAGACACCAGTCCTAATGAATTAGGATTTCTTCCTTATGACCTCATTTGACCTTAATTACCTTCTTAAAGGCCCTCTCAAATACAATTACATTAAGGGTTAGGGCTTCAAGATGTGAATTTTGGAGGGCAAAATTCAGTCCACGACAGAACTCAGCTGTAACTCCAGAGCCTGAGGCTGATTTGATTCCCACCCTGGTTTCTGCTGGAATATACACTACACCTAGCATGATGGTCCCTGACAAGGACACTCAGGGTTTCACATGCATTGTGGTACTCGACCCTCACAGTAACTTGGTTATGCGTGGTTGCAGATCATCTCCTCCTTTCACAATGATAAGGAGACAGGTTCAGAGAGAACAAAGAGCCTGCTGGAGACTGCATCCTTCATTAGAAAGTTACAAGATATGCATGACACACGTCAGCAAAATGAAGGCATAAAGCAAGAAAGAAGAATAATCCAGAAAACAGTGGCCCCAAGACAAGAAAGCAGTGACTTCTAAACCCAGATGACAGGTGTGTGGAAGCCAAGAGAAAAGTGCAGTTTGGGCAGGTGATGAAAGCTCCGGTAAGATCTCTGGGAAATAAAGGGAACAAGTACAATGGGCAGAAGGAAGAAGGAGGCATTAATTTTCCAATTGCATCCTGAAAATTTAGTTAAGGCAATTAGGTAAGAGAGTTAAAAAAATTCAGACTTGACTCTAGGAATGTACTGCTTTGAATGGCACAAATATTTTGAAACAGAAAGAGAGAAGAAAACATGAATCTGCATGTTAGACAGACCTGCAATTAAAAATGATACGGACTTCATTATAATGTAAATAATAGACCAATCAAGGAAGATTTAACTCTAAACAGAACATAAATGTCATCGATCATGTATAAGTAAG